AGTTAAACCACATCTTTATCACAGACGAAGTGCAAAAAGCCTAAAGATTAATTTTAAAGAATTAAACTGCCAGGGGGTCAAACCCACTTATTTTAAAGTTCCCCAGAGTTTTCCTAGTAGCAACACAAGAAAAATAAAAAGCAGGAGAGACAGCAACATCCAAAATCCAAATCTCTGCCTTTTACAACACCTTTGCCAACAAAGGGACCAGAGCAAATGCCTGCATAAACTGTTAGAAAGCCTGTGTGCTTTGGAGGACAGCTATCAGGGATAAAACCACTGTCACCAGACCACCCACATCCTCTGCACTGAAGAGATCTAAGCCACTAACCCCAGAGTGAGATGTTACTGCAGAAAACTATGCCCAGCCCAAGGCTAAAAAATGTCAACAAGGCATTACAAAACCGAGCCCACCAAGGGCTTGTGTTGCTTTCATTAGCTCACTGCCCAAACACCTGCCAGAAAGTCACGGGCTGGGCTTTATCTGCCTCTCCCTGACCCCTGTGCCCCAAACCCAGACATGCTTTGCACCCACAACTGACTCAGACCTCACGCTCCAGCGTTACCCTGGCAGCAAGAAGGTGCCAGCAGAGGAGCTTGTGCTGGGGCAGGAGGCAGAGCAGAACACCTTCTGCTCAGCACCAGGACCACCCCAACCAGCCTCATGCCCGGTCCCAGAGTGTGATCCCAACATCCCAGAGCAGTCAACACATCAGATAGACCAGCCTCATTCCTCCTCCACTGTGGGAAATCAAAAGCCGTGAGGGTCCCTTAACCTGAATGGGAGAGGAACACGGAGACTGACCAACAAGGAGGCTTAAAAACCAAACCAAAACCCTTGCACAATTTCAAATCCTGAGATGAATCCATGTCAGAGCACAGGGGAAAAAAAAAAAAAAAAAAGTCAAGATTGTCATACACTTGCCCCACCCCAAGGAAAACCCACCCTGGGAGCCAGGGAGGAAGGTGAAGCTTTCTCTTACGTTATTCATGGCTCTGAATCACCCCTTCCGGGCCACAGCGTGGATCAGGACCAGCTCCAGCTTCACCAGAATTGGTCGCTGTTTCCATGATCCCTCCTGAGGACTCATTACGTGGTGCTTTTAAACAAGAGCAAACACCACCTTCCTTTGCACCAGCAACTTTGTTGAGTGATAACTTACGTCCCTCACGTTCTCCTAAGGGATACTCCTCTTTTACATATGATGAATTTTAAAAGGAAAAAAAAAAAAGGGGGGGGGCACAAATTTTGCCCCTAGCTACAATGCAACTC